TCCACCAGCCTGGGCTCCTAATGCACCACTGCTGCCAGCCTGACTACTCCGCCAGCCTGGGCTCCCGATGCGTCCCTGCTGTCAGCCTGACTACTCCACCAACCTGGGCTGCTAATGCACCCTTGCTGTCAGCCCGACTACTCCACCAGCCTGGGCTCCTAATGCACCCCTGCTGTCAGCCTGACTACTCCGCCAGCCTGGGCTCCCGATGCGTCCCTGCTGTCAGCCTGACTACTCCACCAACCTGGGCTGCTAATGCACCCCTGCTGTCAGCCTGACTACTCCACCAGCCTGGGCTGCTAATGCGTCCCTGCTGCCAGCCTGACTACTCTACCAGCCTGGGCTCCTAATGCGCCCCTGCTGTCAGCCTGACTACTCTACCAGCCTGGGCTCCTAATGCGCCCCTGCTGTCAGCCTGACTACTCCACCAGCTTGGGCTCCTAATGCGCCCCTGCTGTCAGCCTGACTGCTCTACCAGCCTGGGCTCCTAATGCGCCCCTGCTGTCAGCCTGACTACTCCACCAGCTTGGGCTCCTAATGCGCCCCTGCTGTCAGCCTGACTACTCCACCAACCTGGGCTGCTAATGCACCCCTGCTGTCAGCCCGACTACTCCACCAGCCTGGGCTCCTAATGCACCACTGCTGCCAGCCTGACTACTCCGCCAGCCTGGGCTCCCGATGCGTCCCTGCTGTCAGCCTGACTACTCCACCAGCCTGGGCTCCTAACGTGCCCCTGCTGTCAGCCTGACTACTCCGCTGGCCTGGACTCCTAATGCGCCACTGCTGTCATCCTTACTACTCCACCAGCCTGGGCTCCTGATGCGCCCCTGCTCTCAGCCTGACTACTACTCCGCCAGCCTGGGCTCCCGATGCGTCCCTGCTGCCAGCCTGACTACTCCACCAGCCTGGGCTCCTAATGCGCCCCTGCTGTCAGCCTGACTACTCCGCTGGCCTGGGCTCCCGATGCGTCCCTGCTGCCAGCCTGACTACTCCACCAGCCTGGGCTCCTAATGCGCCACTGCTGCCAGCCTGACTACTCCGCTGGCCTGGGCTCACGCGCAATACTCCAGCATTATCTATTCGTATCCTGTACTACTGGCATTATTTATATCCAACATTATTCAGAGGCCCATCATGCATGGATTTCTGGAAACAAAGCCGGTTCCGGTCCGGGTCGTCATCATGCGTTGCAGGGCGGTGGGCGGATGTGAATGAATGGCCGGTGGCCACTCCCCCGACTCAGTGACGAACGCGGCTGACCAGACAACGCGCCGACGCACCTGACGCACAAAGGCCGCGTCTATGAGCTCGACGGGCGTGTTTCCCAGCTCTCGGCCCAAATGAGTCACCTGTGCCCGGAAGTGGTCGGCATCACTGGTGACAGGTCGGCGCCTGGCTGGCGGTGACGCCCACCTTTTCGAAATCCCTCGGCCCGATGCGGCGCAACCCCTGTCCACGTGCGGCTATCTGAGGGCGTTTGCCCCGAGGGCTTCGCGTGAACAGCAGTCTTATCCGGCCACACGCCAGACTGCAGCAGCGCGGCCTGTTGGCGTCGGAAGTGGTCGTTAGCTGGGGCGAACTGCACGTCCTGGCAACCGCACGAGTCACGTGGTCCCACAAGGGCCCGTGTTCCGAAGAGAGGCGTAGTTGCATACAGAAGCACACAAGCAGTGCACTTCGGGACAGTGTCATGTGGATTTGGGCCAAAACGAGTTAGTTCTGGTTGTCTGGATGAAGCAGAACACGTTGCTGAAATTTGTTGACACCCTTCACCCGTAACTTTTGACACCTGTAAAATTTAGCATACAGCCTCATCTCATCAAGTCTAGGCCCTAATTCTATCCCTAGCTCGCGCTTTCGGGTGCACCTATTGCGCGCCAGCGTGACTGCCATGTTTTCTAGATTCGACAGCCTCCTGCGGATTTTCCGGCATGACAGTGGACTTAAGAACGAGACATGACATCCGCTTCAATGCAATTCATCAGAGTGGTTCTGCTTGTCGGGGCTACTGTGACGTATGGCAACAAGTCATAAAATATTATCAGTCACCTTTGAGGCTTGTTCGACGTCATCTGCTTTATAGCCTTATATCTATGGTTGCTAGTGTTGGGGAGGCCTTTAACTCTTCATGTATTTGATATTCAGCGTCAGCCTAACCCATTTCGCCAGTTTTTCATGCAATCTCTCCAAAGGTGCTTTGGTTCAGTCCGCTACACAAGTATATCTCTAAGCACAATATTGGTTGCCACATCCGTTTGACCTCAGGTTAGGAAAGACGGCAAACGCAGAAGACATGAGCACATGTATTGTTTCTTAATATGCTTACATAAGTTCGATGTTCTGAGAATAGCTTTACGCTTCCCATCTTGACAGTTATGGTCATCAAATATGCCAGGGGGTACTCGTTAAAAGAAGTTGTCAAGCAAACATTGGTTACATTGTGCATTACTTTTATTGTTCTTTTGGGGGAGAGCAGGCAGCATTGCGTCAATTTTTTACTTTTACCCCCATGCCAATAACTGGTGAGAATAGAGCCAAGATGCGTATATATGCAGGCATTGTCAGGCACACATTAAGTGGTAAAATTTTGGAGATCGCGACCTCTTTTTTGGAACATATCTCTGAATGCTTCCCTTTCAAATGTTACAATCAGCCCCAACTATGGGGCAAGTTGTATAACATGATGGGGAAGTCGTGTTGTTTGTTTTACTTGGAGTAAGCCGAATCGCAAGGAGGCTGAATGCGTTACGATAGGAACAAAATACGTTCGCCTCTGCTATTTCTTAATTTGTCGTGAATTCGGTGTGAGAAATATCTACCCCTTCTTATTAAATAGCGTTTATTTTACAACAACCACCATTACGGTTTCGGTTGCTCAGACAGGAATCACGGATCTACGTAGGTACTCTAAATGCCGACCTATTGTCTGGATGACAACAAGAAATGGCAACCCTGCCAGCCAGTCGTTGACGATATGTCGGTGACATCATCGTCCGTACATTACATCACTGATACAACATATCCCACGCACAGCAGATGTAGTATGTATCGCCCGACATCTGGGAAAAATGCTCACACCATCCCAAAATCCTTGGCAAGCAGACCCCGAACGTCACGCAGCATATGCGGCACAAGTACCTCCACAATACTGAGTATAGCATTCTGATTAGTCCGAGTACGCTAAAGGACCTCAAACACATTTTCATCGATCGCTGGAGATTTCGGCGATATGCAAAACACATATTTGTAGCGCTCGTTTCAAGACGTGTCATGGTACAACTCATCCCACTCTCCCCCACATTCGTTGCATTGTGTGTTTTTTAGACATTCGTTGCATTGGTGTGGTTGTATCGGTTAAATGCATACATTGGTTACATTATGTCTATTCCATTCGCCATTACTTTTTACAGTACAGCCCACGTTTCCTTGATAACATCCACTACAAATTATGCTAATGTCCAAATGCATCAATTACCAAATGGTGCGTAATACAACACAAATGCTTACGGGATGACTTTACTGTCTTCCTTCACAGATCACGACGGGAAAAAATGGGCTTTAGTCCTGCTTTGCTATTTCTCGCGCGCTGCAGACTTAGCACCAAATTGGGTCCCTGTCTGATGACACAAGCATGTAGATGCTACTTGATGTGATAAGAATGGAACGTATGGTCACTTAGGTATTTCATATGTTATCGTCTTCAAAGCATAGGTGGGTTAAGATATTCTGACTTGAAATATTTGATAATGGTTTCATTGGGAAATGCAGTAGGTTGAGCATCAATAATGCAGTAATTCGGCATTCCTAGAGCACGCTGTATGCTATTAACGATCGCATTGTTTGGAGATGTTTTGTTCGTTTCACTAAAGAACGGTCCTCATGAAAGAGCAAAAAAAAAAAACAACAACAAAAACGGTGCCTGAAATATACGTCCAGGTCATTTCGATGACTTACCCAATCTAAGACAGCTTTTAGGCTCTTGTTTGCGATGACATGACTTTGGAACTAATTGTGTTTTGTCCAGTCTCCTTCTCCGATGTAAACAGCCCGGTCAGTTGAACGCAGGTCTGTACGGAGAGGCTTGCTAATGCTGTCGCTTGCGAGAGCTTGCCACAGAGGGGATCGCCCAGGAGATGCATCCGACACGCAGTACTAGTACAATACCTGGGTGCGTTTCCCTGGTCCGCCCAGCATAATGTCCTGTTTGCTACTACAGTTGACTTCGCACTGAAATAACCTCCCGTGGCCATGCTGGCCATTCATGGTGTCTGGAGCTTCGCCAGCCCATGCGCAGGCAAATGCGGCTGGCCTTCCATTAGACCTTCTGGGCCTCTGTGGCTTGGCGACACGCGCAAGAGCTGTCTCAGACTGTTGATCGTAAACTCCAGCAATCTCTTTTCTTGGGCACTTCATTGCTGGACTGACACGCGAGTGTTTCATCTCATGGCTTAAGATCATGCCTCGTGTGGGAAAGCTCCCTTTTGTTCGGTTGAAGGTCCTTTCAAGCATTTACACCTGTTCGAGGACATTGAACACACCTTTCAGACTCTCCAGACACCCCCATAAATCCAACCCAGCCCGAATCATAATCATCGTTATGTTTTTTCCCCTACTTGGTAGGTTATGGTGGTAAAGCAGCGTCTTCTCTAAATGCGACACCGTATACCTCCCCCAGATACGTAAAACGTTTAACGTCTTGCGTGCGATGGGCTGCTAACACTTGTCCAAGGTGACAGCACGGGATTTGCAATCAAACGCATGCCACGTGGTTTTGAGCAACATGAGCTGACTAATCCGCTGTGACTCTTGCAAGGCCGCGTATTATTAACCTTCTGTGTTATCAGCATTAGCCAGACTCCGCCGGTTTACGACGGCTGACGTCACAGTGACGGCATTGCCCGCGGCTGGGGCCGCCCCGCCATTTCTCTTTTCCGATGATCGGAGTCGGCGTCCGGTCAAAAGCGCGCGCGCGCGAGCGTCAATCATCACTCAGCATCGTACAACCATGCGGCTCGTGCTGCTTCTCGTCTGCGCAGCGTTCGTCGACGCCTCGCCGATCCTGTTCGGCGGCGGCGAGGACTGCACTTCGTCGGACGGCCGCAAGGGGCGCTGCGTATCCGCCAACGCCTGTCCTCGTGTGACTGGCCGCGTGCAGCCCTCTTGCGTTCAGCCGTGCGGCTTCCGGCACGGCCAACTGCAGATCTGCTGCCTGCCTCCCAAGCCGGCGGCGCCGGCGCCAGTGGCGCTTCGCTGCGGCGTGGCCGGCGCCGACAACTCCCGCGGAGCCCCGGTGCGTAACGTGGCGTTCGGCCGGGACGCGGCGGAGAGCCGTTGGCCGTGGCTGGCGCTGCTGGGCGTGCAGGAGCCGGCTGGACCGCGCTGGCTGTGCGGCGGCGCACTGCTGAGCCCGCGCCACGTGCTGACGGCCGCGCACTGCGTGCCGGCCGACGCGAGCCAACTGCTGGTGCGCCTGGGCGAGCACGAGCTCGGCACGACTTCGGATGGCGCTCACCAGGACCGTGCCGTGGCGCGCACCGCCGTGCCGCCGCAGCGGCGCGCCAGTCACGACGACCTGGCCGTGCTCGAGCTGGCGTCACCGGTCACGCTGGGGCCGCGCGTGCGGCCCGTCTGCCTGCCGGACCCGAAGGTGCGGCTGGTAGGCCGGGACGCACAGGTGGCCGGCTGGGGTCGGCTGGCGTTCGCCGGCGACACGGCCGTCGTGCTGCAGGAGGCGCGGCTGCGTGTGGTGCCGCTCGACACCTGTGAGTCCGCCTATCGACGTCTGGCCAGCTTCACCGACAGCTTCCCGGGCGGCTTCGGCACCACCAAGCTGTGCGCTCAGGACCCGGAGCGACGCGGCGCCGACGCTTGCCAGGGCGACTCTGGCGGCCCGCTGATGGCGCAGGCCGCTGACGGCACGTGGTCCATCGTCGGCGTCGTGTCGGCCGGCGTCGGCTGCGGCAATCCCGACTTCCCCGGCCTCTACACGCGCGTGGCCAGCTACCTGGACTGGATCCACGAGCAGATGACGTGACGTCGCACGGGAGGGTTTGACGTCATCAGGGATTGGCTCCTGACGGCATGACGTCACTGGACCGGCTCCGTCCGCGGAAACAGCCCTGCATGTCAGTGCGCTGCAGGTTTTATTGTTGGTATGTTGGGCGGTTTGCGGCTTACATAAGGAACGGTTATTGATGGCTGACGTATTCAGCTTTTATTGTTGCCCCAGACGAACAACTCCATGCCAGCGATTCCAACTATGTTCTCAAGCCTGGCACTTCAGCGAATTTAGTGATAGTTGGTGTTAGATAGGGTTTTGCACCGCCAGCTAACAGGGTGATCTCAAGATGATCTTTTTAAGGCCGTTATATTTGCATCAAATGTTTGCATGGTGAGGTGTGTTAAGCTATGGGCCAATTTTTATTGTGATATCAAAACACTTTTGGAAACTTTGACTTCAACGCTATCAAACAAAACGTCAGTATCACACCTGAAACATAATGTCACTATCACACCCCAAAACATAACGTCACTATCACACCCCAAAACATAACGACAGTATCACACCCCAATCATAACGCCAGTAAAACACCCAAAACACACAGATGCTTAACTTGTTTCTACAGTGTCTTTAATCACCCGTTTTGCCCACAAAGACTGACGCATTGCTGGCGATGGGGTGCAGATGGTCCCGCTCTAGCTGACAGGAAATCCTGACAATGGAGAGCACATCGTTAATGACGTCATCTGCTGTATACACCTTTTGGATGACAACTTAATACTCGTCTACCCAAGACGCTTTCATATGACGTGATGCGGCTCCATTGCATGTTCTTCGTCGAGTATGTATCTGTGTAAATGTTGTTATGCGTCCATGAATTGAATGCACATGTGTTTTGCCTTAAGTTATGAAGCTAGTATTCTATGAAGTGGCATTGTAGTAATGTGTATTTATCTAGGGAGTAAATAGGTAAATAGCGCTGCAAGACGTACTTATTTGAAAATGTATTGGAGCGTATCTGGTAAATGTGTATGTGCCCAATATGCGACATGCCAGAAAGGACGCAAATTTTTACACGTCTCTTGCATGTTGCATTATTCACACATACGATAGTTTGTGTATAAGTGCATTTGTGTGCGCGTAAAAATGCAGGGATGATGTTTCACTGAGCTAATCAGATTGAGTTCCGACGGGATTTGGGCATTATGCAGCCCCATTTTTCACATTCTTCGTGTCACGTATTCACGCATGAAGTGCGAATAAATAAAAATGTTTTGGCCGACTTTTTGTGGTTGCGCTGCTTAACGTTCGAGCGTTCAAGTAGGTGGCCAGTCGGATACAGGATGCTGAAAAGATACCTACGGTTCTCCGCGATTCTACGATTCGGAGATTGGGTGAGGCGCGGTGTCAAATTGATGACTGGAGTGGACGATTTGACCGTAAATGGTGTTTCTAAAGGGGAGATCGCGGAACAGATCTACTCATCGAGCATTGGGGACATTAAGTCATTTTAGCACAGATGTAGGAGGCACGTCCTCTTCCGCATTCCCAGTGGTTAAACCCACACAAACAGGCATACATAGTGCAAATGGGGATGACAAAAGAGCATACGCGCTCCTTAACCCGGTCTGCTTAACTCCTTAACTCCTTAACCCGGTCTCTTTAACTCCTTAACTCCTTAACCCGGTCTCTTTAACTCCTTAACTCCTAAACCCGGTCTCGCACCGCCGGCCCCGGTAATTCTGCCGACTAGCTGCACTAGGCCGAAGACATTCGGCCCCTATGAGTCAAGCTCTGTTCAACTAAACGTATTTGGGCAGTGGACGCGTCAAAGATGCAGGAATCTGTTCCTTAGCCTGCAAACATGCGGCCCTTAACAATGCTTCCTTGAACGGGTCATGCAGCGGGCCGTTCACGCGACGACGGTTGGGAGTCGTTCATGGCCGGCGGCACCGCCAGGCGGCGGGCCGACATTCCACACGGCCACACGGCTCGCGCCGGACGGTCCGCAGGGCCGCTGCCGGCGCGTCGGCCGTGCCAGGAATTAGGTCCGCCTGCCGCCCGTCGGTCGCAGTCTATGGGTAATCGATGGATGCGTGTCTGCCTCGTGCATGCCGACGACCAGCGGCCGGGCCGACACGCGGTGTGCGCGGCCATGTGTGCCGTGCGCTGTGTACTGGATACCGACCTCAGCGACGCCGCTCGACCGGTGGACAGGACCGGGCCCTGTCGGCCGAGGACCGCCGGCTGCCCCGGGCGAGCGCCGCTCGACCGGTGTCGACAGGACCGGGCCCTGTCGGCCGGGGACCGCCGGCTGCCTCGGCGAGCGCCGTCCGGGTGCGAAGGAGCACGCGCCCAGGCGGGGTTAGACGCTGGAACAGCAGGCAAAGTAAAGCCGAAGACGTAGTATCGGTCTATCAGGAACCGTTGGAGCCTTGCAGCTCGCATGAGGTGACAAGCCCCGCCGTTGATATGGCAAATCGTAAAGTCAGTCGAAACGGTGCAGCCCGAATAGTGTGGCGGAAAATGTCAGTCGGTCCGGTTATCACCAAGTCGTTCAATATCAACCGGCTTTAAGTTGTAAAATGGTGCACCCCGAGATCCAAGTCCATTGGCGTTCCAAGTCCTGGTGAGGGTGGCCCCTTCCTCCAGTCGAACAAAAGAGGCGCCCCAAACTCAAGTAGATGATTTCCAATTCACTGCAACGCACTGCAGTGCTCCGTCCCAAGGACTGTGAGGCACCTGCGCCCAAGGCGTCATGGGAAAACGTCTCCAAATTTCATCCGTGGGGGACTCTTACAATGAGAAGAGTGGCACCCGCTTACGCAGGTGGAAGTCCACCCCAGACCTAGATAATAGCGCGTCCATAAACGTAGCAGGGTAGTCAACAAGCCGCGTAGGTACATATACGGGCACAAGCGTACGTAACAGGCCTCCGTTCAGGTATTTAGGGCGCCTAGCTCGAGACAAATATCAAGCCCAGACGTATGGGGAGCCCGGGTGCTACAGCCGGGCGTCTTCATAGTACACGGATGTCCAGTGGTCAGATAAACGGTCGCCGCGGACAAACCGCAATGCAGAACCTCCAAAGCTCGGCAAGAGAGCTCTCCAAGCCCAGTCAGACGTGCACTCGAGAGACCAGGCGAGCATCCCGAACCTGGCTGGTTTGGCAGCAAACCTGAGTACAAATCTAGATGCTCTGAAGCACTGCCTTGAAGATAAGTCAAGCTTACATAAGTTTTGAATACATGCATTTATGATGTCCATTGCTGACCATATGAGGATTTTGGGCATTTTAACGCACATGGACAACATCCTAAGCCTCGTCCATCAGATTGTCTTAAAAACATGTATTTAAGACTATCTGACGACCCAAACTAGCCTGTGAGATTTTCACCTGAACCCGACCTACGGTTCAAGAGTTACATCAACCTGGCATTTTGAGGAGGCTGCGACAGAGGGCTTTCAACAGTCTCTTCCTCCTACAAGGATAAAGGGAACGTCACAGACTTGGTCACTTTGGGATCCAAAATAGTACATTTATCTCTCCTCTTGTTTTATTGCGAAAATGGTGACCTATTGTTCACTTGACCTCAGGTTACGTGACTCCGTTTCACCTACAGCAGTGCGATACATAACCTATGTCAGCGCAAAATGAGCTCAGGCATATCATCTTTAGCTCATTTAAGTGTGGGATATAACTTATATATTACAATTAGAGAGATGCAATTACACCACTCACCATGTCTGTCTCCGACCTGACTCAATCGGAGAAAATAGTCCTTGCATCTCCATATCAGGCACCGTGCTGCAAACGCATTACGCGTGAACTGCCGTCAAATCATCGAGCTGCCGTCAAATCATCGAGCTGCCGTCAAATCATCGAGCTACCGTCAAATCATTGAGCTGTCGTCAAATCATCGAGCTGCCGTCAAATCATCGAGCTGCCGTCAAATCATTGAGCTGTTGTCAAATCATCGAGCTGCCGTCAAATCATCGAGCTTCCGTCAAATCATCGAGCTGCCGTCAAATCATCGAGCTGCCGTCAAATCATTGAGCCGTCGTCAAATCATCGAGCTGCCGTCAAATCATCGAGCTGCCGTCAAATCATCGAGCTGCCGTCAAATCATCGAGCTGCCGTCAAATCATCGAGCTGCCGTCAAGTCATTGAGCTCCGTCAAATCATCAAGCTGCCGTCAAATCATTGGGCTGCCGTCAAATCATTGGGCTGCCGTCGAACAACTGAGCTACCGTCAAATGAGCTGCCGTCAAATGCTCCCTGCCAGCAAAAACACAACTCAAGAAGAAGGAAAACGTTCGGAACATCAACGCGGCTACCCAGCTTCAATGTTTAGGATGCACTCACTGAGGCAGAGGGCCGCTCCTCCGGGTCGTTCTGAGAGTCATCGTTACCAGCTATGCCGAACGGAGTATTTGCAGGCTCTGAGAGCGCTCATCAGCATCATGGCTTTTGAAAGTCGCACCGTTGGGCTTCTGTCGACTTTCGCGGCTTCCGCCGCCATCATTGCCATCACAGGCGCTTCTGCTCAGGCGACGAGTCAACAAACTGTTAACCGCACGGGATCAAAAGTCGTGTTAAGGATGGCACTGCTAACATTATATATATATATATATATATATATATATATATATATATATATATATATATATATATATATGTGTGTGTGTGTGTGTGTGGGTGTGGGTGTGGGTGGGGGTGTGGGAGTGGGTGGGTGGGTGTGGGTGGGTGTGTGGGTGGGTGTGTGGGTGTGGGTGTGAAGTGTACTCATACGAACAGTAGTGCGTCTTGATGAGGTCCGTGATTTGGGCATTCAGTTCAGGAGCCAGATGCGATAATAAGGTTTGAACAACACTGGCACTACGCTTTGTGACGGCGGACGTTACGTTTTGTGACGGTTGACGCTTTGTGACGGCGGACGTTACGTTTTGTGACGGTTGACGCTTTGTAACGCTTTATGACTGTTACAGCAATATTCCTCACCCTAGGTCACGAGGCAACCCACCCGGCACCTCCCCCCCCCCCCGCTCATCTCCCCTCAACCGCGCGGTCAAAGAGGTTTCAGACGGGATTCTGATTGGCAGCCCTTTAAGATTTGAAGCCCTCTCAGGGAGAATATTCTGCCTGCGGCGCGTACCCGCTTAAGACGCAATACGCGATATTACGCAAGTTCGGTGCAATGTATAATTGTAATGCTGAAAAATACGCCGAGCTGCAAGAAAACTTGTTCATGGTTCGGTAAGCAAGCACACGTACGAATGAAAAATGTCAATATGGCGGTATGGAGGCGGCTCAGGCCTGCAGTGGAGAGTCGACGGTCTTGGCGGAGGCCAATCACCATGATATGTGGTGAGACTTAGAAGGAGCGGGATCTGAGAAGCTCGATATAGGGCTCCGAGAGACCCAAAGACACGACTAGCACCCTTAGCAAATAATCTATTGGCTCAAATTGACAGACTTGTGCTTGGCTCCGGCGAACTAAGATCAAATTCCGGAATCGATCCTGGTTTGGCCTGAATTGGGTTTGGTTGATTGACTGCTCGGTCAAATCGGAGTCGGAAGCGGTCCTTACAGTTTCCAGCAGAATCCGGGTACATTTGATTCCACTAGAAATAAGCTGGTTCACAAAATGCTCAGCCACAATCTTTGTGATATCATCGCCAGCTTGCCAATCCCAATGACAAGATCAGCTTGACCATGATCAGCTATCATTAGATAGGTATGCAAATTTGTGAATCATCTCTTCAGGTTACGGGATTTAAAGGGCTAGGTTTGCGACGCTGGAGTTGTCAAGAACCCAAAAATCACCACTTTGAAATGCAAGAATGTTTACCCCATTACCCTGAGCCTGCCGATGTCTCGAAATGGCTCAGAGGTATTACGATTCGTACACGAGGACATCCATTTACAAATCGTTTTGCGAAACGCTAGTTGCATGTTCCGTTTGCTTCAATGGGCAGTTGGTAAAGTGCTTGCGTTTTTCCACCCATTACAATTAACTAAAAGGCTCTGATTCTGGGCGAGGTGAATTTATGCATTCACACACATTGTGTGCATTGACATACACATAGCATGCATATCACTGCTTATTCATTTACTGTCTGCCCCGAGACCCGGATCAGATCAGATCCGGATTCGGATCCATTTTATTTGGTTTGGATTCAGAACAGATTTCACCCAACTGAGATCAAGCACCAGCCCGCAAATGAGCGTCGTAAGATACTGACGCGTGGGACATCATAGGTTGCATAATACTGATATTGAGCCCCAGCTTCACGGTATGCCCTGACTGGAGATGGGGACTCAAAGCAGCATGATTCAAATTTGGCGTGGATTTGGATAGATTTGAAAGTTGTGAATCTTCGAATCGTCACAATAAACAGTCAAGCCGTCACTCAGGGTTTAAAGTTGAGAGAAATGCACTGCATCCCAAAGGTCATCATACAAATAAGCTATCAAATGTGCTCAATATTTTCTCGGCTCACATTTCCTTCTTTTAAACGAAATATAACATGCCATGTTGGTTTTACATCCAACTAGGTCTTCCTCCGTTCTTTGTGTTATCGACACTGCATTGGCTTAAGATTTTAATGCAAAGGTTCAAAACATTTTTAGATATATTCGAATACTAAATCCGAATCCAAATCCGCATCCATCTAACATAAGATTTGAATAACATTTGCCGCGAGGCCTCGCGCTAGCTCCAATTTATGAAGTGGCCGCTGTCACCAAATCACGAGGGAGCGCCTTGAATGAAGGGATCAGTGCCTCATGAGGTTCAGAATCCCACGCAACACTGACGATCCACACGAAATGTGAACGTGCCGACCACGTGAGCCAAATCCAAATAAGCCTGTTTAAATCGCACCGAGCACGCACCATGTGCCCTTACCAGGCTTTTGGCGCCACCACACCAACACCGAAGGCTGGTGAGCGGGTGCCCCCCCCCCCCCCCCCTCCCCATCGTCGTTCGCCGCCCCCAGTGGTGTCCATTATTCACGTGCTCTGTTTGTGAGCGCCGCCGCCGTGGCGGCCACATTCCAGTCCAATCAATGGCGGCGCCTGCCGCGGCCGAGCCGGCGGGGTCAGTGTTCGCGTGACCTGAGGTCCGACAGCATGGGTGTGTGCGCCAGCAGCGACGCCGGCGGTGTGGTGTCACCGGGTCCCGGCTCCAGACAACCTGGGGCCACGGCCAACGGAGGGGAGGACGCAGGTGAGGTCACCGGCTAGAAAAGGTCACGAGTGGGAGGGGAGGACGCAGGGGAGGTCACCGGCTAGAAAAGGTCACGAATGGGAGGGGAGGACGCAGGGGAGGTCACCAGCCAAATAAAGTGACGAAGGGGGAGAGGGCGCAGGTGAGGTCACCGGTTAGATAAGGTCACGGATGGGAGGGGAGGACGTAGGTGAGGTCATCAGCCACATCAGGTCGGCAAGAGCGGTCAGGGAGGGGAGCAAACAACTGGGGACACCGGGATAAAGCATAGTGGCTGATGCTACACAGTTTCCCTAATGTATAAAGCATAGTGGCTGATGCTACGCAGTTTCACTGGCGAATAAAGCATAGTGGCTGATGCTACGCAGTTTCACTACTGGATAAAGCATAGTGACTGATGTCACGCAGTTTCACTAGTGGATAAAGCATAGTGGCTGGTCGTGCGCAGTTTCGCTAGTGGATAAAGCATAGTGGCTGATGCTACGCAGTTTCACTAGTGGATAAAGCATAGTGGCTGGTCGTGCGCAGTTTCACCAGTGGATAAAGCATAGTGGCTGATGCTACGCAGTTTCACTAGTGGATAAAGCATAACGGCTGATGCTACGCAGTTTCACTAGTGGATAAAAAGTTCTCGGTTCACTAGCAGTGAGTTGCCTCAAGCCGCTGTCATCCATTGTCTGGATTTAAAACGTGCCTGCAATCGGCAAGGATGTGTGGCAGGGTGACTGGTATGCACCTGTGCTCACTGGCGTGTACCCGCCTGTGCCTGGTGTGCACCTGTACTCACTGGCGTGTACCTGCCTGTCCTGGTGTGCACCTGTACTCACTGGCGTGTACATGTTTTCGGAGTGATGCCCCAGTGTACATCTGTACCATGTGCTCGCCATTGGATACGTTTCAGGTCGTCAGCATGCAGTCTGTTACAGCTGTACTATAACTGTAAGATAACGAATACGGCATTTCTAAAGAACTCAGAACATGGAGCAATTCACAAATTAGACGCCGCACTGCAGTACTGATTTAGATAGGCATCCATCCTTGGTCCGGACATGCCAATGACCGCCTGGTGCAACAAGCCCATGCAGAGCAGCAGACAGGAATTTGCGGTACACATCGAGCTGAAACGCAGTTCCGTGTTTACAAACTCCTCACCGTCAATGACCCAAATTATTGGCGTTGATGCTAAAGGAAACCCTCTTCGTTGGCTTTACTCTGAATCAAGGCTTTGAGCCTCAGTTTCTTGGGCCGGAATCGAGTCATCTGACAAAAGCTAAATGGAGTAACAACTTAGTATCACGTCAGTTAATAAGCCGGTGTCGTCAATAAAGACTCCGCACACCGAGTTTTGCATCATGGAATTTCAAAGCCGCAACAGATTTCATTAAGCTTTTTCATCGCGTTTCAAAAATAAGAGATAGCTGAAGCTTGGGTAGAAAGCTGCCCAATCCGCCGTCAGTCCGGACTTAGTGCGCTGTTCACGACCTTTATTACTGCCGCGGGCTGGGAGCGGCAGGGCTGGGACCCGGTCCACGTCGTCTGGACAGGCGCTGACGGACGTCCGATGGCTGCCGCATGACACGCTCCGTCACGCTTTTCCGGCACGATTGGCCTTTAGAGGCAACGATAGGGAACAGGGACGCGTGAAGATAGGTGCGACCAGCGCCTGTACGCCACGCTACCGTTTGCGGCAGCGTTCTTAAAATTTGCGCAACGAAATGCAAGTAGCCGGCTTTTTGCACTGAAACCAGCTTCCTTTCGGCAGTATGC